TATATATATATATATATATATATATATATATTAGTTTTGATAACAATGAAAAATCTGGCAGATAAAACTTCGTCTAGCTTCCAGAAGCTCAAACTGACTTACCTCCATGGCCCCTGCACCTGTTGCACGTTCATTTCCACCATTAACACGACGACCAACAAAAACCTGACCAAAGCCACCTTTACCAAGCTTCCTCTCTATCTTATACAGAGGTGATCCTCCAACTTGAACCTAGAAAAGGGAGAAAGCCAAAAAAAATGTTTATTAGAAAGACAAGTCCAATTAATCAAACTGATCAATATGAAATAACCTGCATATTGAAATTGACCCAAAGTACTAATCTAAAAACAATAAACAAGTGATCGTTTGTGCTGATATTTCACAAAAATATAAATAAAAAGCTTAACCTGCTACTACCAGAAAACACACACTAAACAGCTTAGATAACACACAATATAATAGAGATAAACAGCAACACAGCACCGAAAAAGAGAGATAGAGCGAGAGAAAAAAGTATACCCTCTCTGGAAATGGTGCCGTACTTCCCTCTTCCTCCTGTCCACCAGCCTTGTTAGCACTCAACCCACCACTATCGTCCCCCATTAGAATTTTCTTCTCCTTTTGAACCCTTTTCACCAAAGCCTTCTCGATATCACTATCTCCCTCCGATAATACAATTACCCGATTCTCTCTCCCAACAACCGGCTGATCCTCTTCCTTTTCCAATCTCTTAGCGGCCAACCTCGTCCTAGGTCTAGCCGCAGTCGCAACACGTGCCTGCTTCTGATTCCTCTGCTGCTTCCCCGGTTGCTGCTCCTGCCCCTGCACTACCGCGGCACGGCCTCGGCGGACCCCTTTCCGAAGCTGCGGCATTGCTCAACCCCCATACAAAGAAAACAAAACCCCAGAAATTGGATCATTATAGTGCTTCTTCTATGACTCCATCCATGTGTGATCAAAATCGGGCGTCCGACTACACGTAAAAGAAAAGAAAAAAAAAAAACTGAAAAAATTATTCAAGGGGTTCCGAACTCCGATCGTCGCCGAAATAGGAAACTAGGGCTTGAATACTGTGAGGGATCAGGGAAAACAACTCCGATGCTTGATTGGGGGGACCGAATTAGGAAGGTTAAAATTAGGGTTTCTCAGAAATTTGTAGAGAAATTTGACGATAATTGAAAGGGAAGGAGGCGCAGACTGAAGAGACTCGGGCAGACGCGGATCGAGATATTGGGTTGCGGTGGGGCCAGCTGATGACTTGTGCGAAATTACACGGCAGGTTAATCCACGTCATCACAATCAACGGTAGATATCCGATCAATCAGATCAAATAAAAGCTTTTAGGTTAAATGCCCATTTCGTCCCTTGACTATTGTATGGATCCATGATTTAATCTCTAAATTAAAAAAATTCCTGATTTAATTCTTGCTGTTTACCAATTTAGCTCCAAATTTGTCCTCCTATACAAAAGTGGATGACATGCCTCATTATTAATGTGATATATGGTTGTTAAATAATGATTTTTTATCGTTAAGTAACATTTTTTGTTATTAAATAACGATTTTTTATTATTAAGTAACATACACATTAAGTTATTTTTTAATAGAATGATCAACTTAAAGTTAAATTAATATACAGCATAGATCAAATTAGGGTTTTTTTAGTTTAGGGATCAAATTAAGAATTTATATAATAGTTGAAAGACCAAATTAGAGGTTTAACCAAACTTTTACTACAACCTAATTTAATAAACAGCTTAATGAACTAGGCATTCGATGCAATAGTTCATTCTCAAATCTTAGTATTTGGTTTTAGTTGGTTAGAAGTTCAACTTTTATCAATTATTTGAAAAAATCCCCTATTCTCCCATAATTCTCCATGCTAAAAAAAAAAAATGTTTAATCATTTTTATATTTTTTTATTTTCTTTATTATTTTTAGATATTTTTAGATTTATTTATTTTATTTTTATTTCATTTTAATTTAATATGTTAATTTTTTAATAATAGTTTCATTTTGTTTGGTCAATTTGATTTTAAACTATACTTTTTTTTATAAATTTTTAGTCATTAAAATTAATTTTGAGATAAATTGTAATGATAATCGATTGCTTTTTTATTGATTAAAAAATTATAACCTTTATCATATACTACTTCAACTTCCTTCTTTCCTCTTTTTTTACAATTCTCATTTAACCACAGAATTCTCAACTATGAACATATATGTTTGAGTACATGTTTGATTAGCAGTTCTGACAGTTCTGTTTCTTTACCAAGTGCTATTGCTCTGGATGCAAAAGAAAGACCTCTTTGCCAAAATTGTGGGGGTAGTGGTGCTGTACTTTGTGTCATTTCTTATTTTGTTCCATATCCATGTTTTCTCCATTGCTTGATCAGTGAAGGCGAATGGATAATTTCTCTCTGCATTCTCCCCGTTCTATATTTTAAGTCAGCTCTAATAGTGATTGGCTGATTCCCATGTGATAGGATGTGCACCTAACAACTTTGCATTTTCATCACTCTCTTTGGCCTAGGAGATTAGAGAAATATATACCTAATTGCTTTTTCAGTCTGTAAGATGATCATTGGCTTTTTATTTAGGTGATATGTGTGAGGGTACAGGAAAATGGAGGGCTCTCAGCAGAAAACGAGCAAAAGACGTTTATCAGTTTACAGAGTGTCCAAATTGTTATGATATGTTCTCTTCTTTGCAACTCCTCGTAATCACCTACTTTCATCACGTAAATTGTTGTTTTTGCTACCCCTGAGTATGGATTGATGTTTGAAATACTACTCTTATCACTTAAATTGATGCCAAAAATGCTCACTTTGAGACTCTAGGGTGAGCTGCATGACGGTGACAAAACAGCGGCATTACTCTTGACCACCAACTTGGCTGTCCTTTAGCTTTGTTGGCATTAAATTTTCAGTGTCTAGTTTTGTTTTGTCTTTTGGGTAAGCAGGTCGTGGAAAACTAGTCTGTCCTGTTTGTTTAGGTACTGGAATACCAAATAATAAAGGTCATCCATGGAGGCCTGATGCGTGACAATTACTTGACAAGATGTACAATGATCAGCTTTTTCCAAGTTATTGAGTGAGTGCTTCACCATGACAGTCTCAGCTGATGTTGGAAGTGTGAAAGTTTAGTTTATTTACCAAGATAATTACTAAACAATGTAACTAGATTTTACAGTTTTTACAAGTATCATAACCTTGACTGATATCCATGTTATTGTGATCTTTATTTTCTGAAATATACTCAGGTGGTTGTTTTTGAAGGGGATTTTGATTCAACAACCAAATGAATGAAGCATAGGACAGTTTGCATGATGATTGTTAATCTAAGCACAGCCCAAATGAGAAGTTTTTTTCCCATGGAGAATGGCTTTAGAGGTGGCTCAAGTTTTGATTTTTCTTGCTGTGGTTTTATTTCCATTAACCTGATAGAGGGGATACGCAAACTGTAAATTTGATTTAGTAGTACCTGACCAATAACTAGATGGATTAAATTAAGTAGTTTGCTCAATTGTACAACATATATAGTGAAATGGTTGATTGGGAATTCAAAGGACATTGAGACATAACATGCACATATGCATCTCTTTTTTGGCATTGAACAGGGGTGAATCCATTGACAGGTGAACTGCATTTTCAAAACTTGCTCGTTTAAGCATATTACTCTAAGCTGAAAGCCACTTGATCTGTTCAACAGGTTTCAACGGTATTAGGTCTTCTGCAAAGAAACACATAGCATCGTTCATACACTATAGTGTCAAGGGCTTGCCAAGCACTTGGTTAGGATTTGGTTTCACTGGCTTGCACCTGGATGCAACCCTATTTCAGAGTACAAAAATGGTTTTTGGAAGAGTGTTTGCCATGCTTTAAAAGAATATATATATATATATATATATATATATATGAGATTAACAAAATCCAACGTATGGAATTCTGATATTAGAGGTTGGATACATATGAAGTGATAGTTTCATTTAATAAAATCCTACAAAATCTTAAAGGATGCAGTAAAATATGCCAAAGTTTTTCTTGAAAAACCTTTCAGCCATCCTCCGAAGAGGGTCTGAAGAGTATTATCATGAAAATCTTCAGAACTCAATGACCGTTCTTTCAACTGCACAAGGTGCTCCAAGATCAAGATTCAGTATTGGGAAGCCGGTCGAGGATAGAATGCTCAGGTTTGTGTTCGCATTCAAAGTCGAGATGAACAAATGCCCGCTCAACTTCTGGAATTTTCTCTATTTTTATCTGCAGGGCCTCTCCAACATTATGTGCCTCTTTTAAAGGCAAATCTTCAGGGAGTTCTATGTCAACCTGTGTCAGATGAAGAACAAACAAAATTCTTATTGGCTAGATCATCTTAGCAACATAAAACACTTTCTTTTGGCATTCGGCATCACAGAACACTGAAAAACATAAAACTAACCTCAACAAAATAGAGAACACCAAAGGTGTACGCGCGGACTGTATCAATACGCTTGACTTGAGGGTGCCTTATTACCAGATATGTTAATTTCTGCAAGAAATCTGGCGAAGCTGATTGTCCCACAAGTGAAACTGCATCAAGAAGCCTTATCAGAAAAATGAAATATACATTTATGAAATGGCAAAAGGCAAGCATGGCTGCCTGGGTTAGAAATAGAATTAGGCTGATGATTATATGCAATATGAATGCCCACTACTTTTTCCTACACTGGAGAGAAACCAAATAAAATGATCATTTTAGTTTAGAACAAGCAAGGAAGAGAAAACATACTTGCATTTTCCTTAACAGTACCCGACCAATTAGTGATTATGTACAGTGCAAGGGCAATAGCACCTGCAGGATCAATCCACCAGTAAAACCTATCACCAAGAACTGCTGCAACTAAGCCTACCACGTTGGTCACAACATCAACGTAGTGATCCTGAGAACATGCATTTAAAAGAATTAAGCAAACAGACAATTTTAAGTAGAAGGGCAGAAAACACATGATTAAAGAATTGGAGCCAAACCTTTGCATAAGCACGGACAATCTTGCTTTTGGAAGTTCTACAATAAAGCCAGAGGGCAAGTTTTACCACCGTGGCAGTTAACATGATGGCATACAACCATATCAACTGATTTGAGGACATACTCTCTGAAGACTTGTCTTCAATTAGTTGCTCTACAGCCTCAATCAAAATCTCAAAGCCTGTAAATAAGTGCACGGTTACAAAAACTTCAATGATACAAAAAGGAAGTTACTAATCATAGTACATAGGGAATAACAATGGAGGTAGGACATGTTAAGAACAGGGAGTTTCACCAAAAATATGATAATTAACAACCAAGAAACATACCCAGTGTAGCCATGACAGCAGCAAAGACAATTATGCCTACTGGCTGCACTCTCAGTTTTCCAATGGGATATTTATAGATGTTTATGTTTTTCATTGAAAGATGGGTGAACCAAAGTATGCCACCAGAAATGAGATCAAGTAAAGAGTCCAATGTTGATGCTGCGATGGCTATGGATCCACTCTTTATCGTAGCATAGATCTGCACAATAAAGAATGAATTATAGATAACCTTGCATCATAAATCCTCACAATTAACAGAAACCTGAGACTTCCATCATCATCAAATGTGATTCTCAAGCATGTGTTCTAAGGACAGAACATAGTCCTAGAGATTTGATTGATTTTGAAACAAATAGCAAAAACTTACCTTGAGTATCAGCAAGACTATGTTTGCATAGTTAGAAATCTTCATGGCTCTTTCTTGTTGGATTTGCTCTCTATCTGGTTGGATGTGTTCTCCATCTTGATCAGTTTCCTCAAAAACAGTTTCATTTAAAGCATCAACTTCCCCAAAGGCTTTCAAGGTTGCAAATTGTTTTTCGTAGTACTCCTTTTCTCCTACACATTGAAAGAGTGATTTTTTAATCCGAATTAGATTCTTAACTCCCCTTGTTGCAAATATTAAAAAAAAAAAAACAACTTTGTAGAACAAAATCAGTGGCTTAGAAACCTTATCATCTGTTTCTGTCTGTTCAAAATAGACCCAAAAACTTAAAAAAGAAAAAAAAAAAAGAAAGAACTACAACAAAAAAACGCATCACTTCTCTCCTTTCCCTTGAACTTGCACGTCCTCTAAATTTTCTCAGCAATAAATACATACATCAAAGTATCATCTGCAAACAAAATGGCGTCGGTAGAGAAGAAAGCAAAACCCCCTTTTCCTACATGAGAAACGAAAGTAAAAAAGCTCTAACCTTTCGTCAAGCCGTTGGTTTTGGAGACATCAATGTCGCACGGAGACTCTTCATTAATTCCACACCGCACTTTCTCCGGCAACCTCGACACGAACTCCGACGTCAGCGTCCTCACGGAGTTCTTCCTACTCATTAACCGTTTCCCGCTCCTACCGAGCAGTGGCGTCTTAGCACCGGAACACGATTCACTGTCCATTGTACACTGGAATCTTGGTTTGTCTATCCTTCACAAGTGTTTCAGAGTTCAGACAGTTATTTTTACAGATCGGCACCAGACTGAATTACATTCGTATTATTTTATGTCCTGTTCTCTTCTTTAATGTTGTCCTTTTTCTCATTATCAAACATTTAAGCGTTACTACAATTAGCAGATTATTTATTTAATATTGTCTTTACCAATAATTATGTTTCCAGATTTTTTTATTGAGAGGAATGCTAGGAGCACTCGCTCCAGCACTCTCCTTTTGGTAGCCGCTCATCTATTTAGCCACGTTGCTAATGATTTTAATGCTTTAACTGGGAACCGGTAATTGTAAGTAACTAGCTAAAAGACAAAAAGGCTAAACTAAAAACTA